GGGAGATTAGCCGGCTAATGTGTTATCGGCCGAGGAGGCAGAGGATGGACTCGGAAATGAGGAGGGAGGAAGGGAAGGCTCCTCCAGGCTGAGTGACAGCTCGCCTCACTGATGGCGAGATGAGGCCACATGAGCCGCCGCCGCCGCGTTTTGAAAGGACGACACACGCCTCAGATAAGCAAACCTTCAAGGTTCTGTGAGGGAACTACATTTGCCTAGTTTTTTTTTTTTTTTTTTTACCATTTCAAACACTCGGTGAACTAAGGCTGGACGATTATGGACATGATAATAATTACGATTGTTTTGATTCAATTTGAAACGACGATTAAAAAAAACAAACTATTATTCATCGCCTTTGAAATTTGTGATTTATTCAGCTGCTAAGCCTCAATGCGCCAAAATAATCATCATAGCCTGTGTTCAACTATCCATTGCTTACAAGCGTATACTAACATCATGTTGATGCTAGCTTCCTTAGCCTGTTTATGTGATTTTGCATTGTTTGTTAGCATAAAGCTAAACGGACTGTATCTTTCAAGCAAAAAAAAAAAAGTAAATCATCCGTACGACATCTTTGACCTTGATAAAGGGGCTCACTCATATTTGGAGGCGCCTCCTGTCTGCCACAAGTTTGTCATTTGCGATCGTTTCCTGGGCAGGGTGCGAAAGGGACCTTGCTGGCCGCGGCCTCGTCGCCACTTGAGGCCTCGTGAAATCATCTCCCACAAATTGAATGAAGCTGCTTTCCATAAAACCGTAATGGACTCCCCCCCGCCGGCCGGCGGCCACCTGAAGCAATTTGTCATCCGGCTTTGAGTCCAAGGTCAGGCGCTCATTGATCGTCGCTCCGGCGGCGAGAAGGTGACCTCCGGCCGGCCACCGGCAACCGGCAACAACCGGCTCCTGCGACGTGATGTCGGCTTTTGAGTCCTTTTTAAGTGTCCCGTCACAGATTCACTTTCAACTTGACTGCGGGTGTCACACTGTCACAACCCTTTTGATTCATGTTGACACAAAGGTCATGAAACTTCCCAAGGGCAGACGGGGAATTTTGCCTTCCCGGGCGCCACGGTGATCGACTGCTTTGCACAGTGCAGAGGTTATGGGTTCGATTCTGGTGCCTTGACCAGAAATAAATAAATAAAGCGGTGATGGGGCGTGCATGCGTGCAAGTGTGTTTGTTTTTGAAGTGTCAGGGATTACTTCCACATGGCAACAAGAGAACACAACGCTGCGGAATAATTGGAGGTGCGCGTTGACATTCCGTCAAGATTTGAAATTGGCTTCGGTGTCTCTCTCTCTCTCTCTCTCTCTCTCTCTCTCTCTCTCTCTCTCTCTCTCACACACACACACACACACACACACACACACACACACGCACACACAAAGCAGAAGCTGTTTTCACATTTCCGTGCAGGAGTTTGCTAAATGCTCCTTTAATTGGATGATGAAGTCACAGCCAGATGGCTGATTGCAGCGAGTGGGAGGAGCCGTTTCTTTTTTTTCTTTTTTTCCCCCACACTTTCCTTTTCAGTGCTGAACTCTGAACTGTCAGCCGGCCAATTAAAGCGATTTTTATTCGAGGGCCTCCTAATTGGAGGCATGTTTGGCTTGACGGCTTGGTAAAGACAAGCTGGGCTGGCAATCAGCGGCCACCGCCCGCCGCCACATCGGCAATGTGCAACCGGTTTGAGTTCAGGGTAGGGCTTCAACTATCGAATATTTTGGTATTCAGATATCCTACTGAAAAGTCTGTCAAATAATCCGATATTTGTATCCAATTATATATGTGTATTCTTTTGCTTGGTTAAATCGCCATTAAATAGTGATTGAATATTATTTCGGGACAAAGTTGTGTCGTCGTCATCGCTGGCAACAGTTTGTGACAGCAAATGGCCCCAAACAGTCTGAATGGCGAGTCAAGTCAGCCGTTACGTCGCGACACACTGCCGCTAACAACTTCAAAATAAAAGCCTTACAAGGCATTGATGTTGATATATTTTATTTGTTATGTAAGGTGGATTTTGAAGTTGGCCACCTCAACTCTTGTTTGAAAGCTAATTTAAAACCCTAACACTTGCCAGAAACTGTAATTTGAAACCAAAATCTTTGTTGAGACCCTCATTTTAAACCTTAACTCTCGCTTGAATCCCAAAATGGAAACGGTAACTCTTGCTTGAAACCCTCATTTGAAATCAGCAATCTTGCTGAAACCGCAATTCTAAACATTAACTCTTGTTTGAAACCCAAATTTGAAACTTTAATTTTTGTTTGAAACGTTAACATTTTTTTTTTTTTTTTGGAAAGCATAATTTGATACATTCACCCTTGCTTGAAACCCTCATCGACTGCACGACAACTAACTCCGTCACTTTGCTTGTTTTGTTTGCTTTCAGTCCAGAGGCGGAGGCCGACCAAACGCCGAGCGACCGTCGGACAGACTACGCGGCGGCCGATTCCAAGGTGACACCCGGCCCGCCAAAAGGAAAATTAAAATAGGACAGTACAGTTTATTTATTTATTTATTTTTATCGTAATAGAGGGCATTCAAAAAGTCACTTTCAGTGCTCTGCTACCGTTGGATTGGATTAAAAAAATGTCATTTGTGTAATAATGGAGTTGTAATATGACATGAAATAGTGAAATGCGTACAAGAATGAAGTTCTAGCATTGAGATTGGACAAAAGTCATCCTTTTGAGCGAGGGGGTTGATATGAAACGTCGTAATTTGTCAAATAAATCATTCTTAACATGACAAGAGTCATAATTAGCACAAAAAGAAAGTTGTGCCATTAGGAGGAAAAATTCATACTTTCAAATCAGAATGTAGATATGACAAATCAAAGGTGTAGTTTGTTTGAAAATGAAGTCGTAGTAACATGAGAAAAAAGTCACGTTATTGAACGACAATGTCGATACGATATAGTGCAAGAAATGGTCGCCATTTGCACGACAAAGAAGTCATCGTATCACAAGAAAAATAAATTACCTTCAAATGAGAATGTAGATCTTACATGAAAAAACGTGTCCTTTGCGCAATACTGAAGTCATAATATTACAAGAAATAGTTGAAATTCGTGTAAAAATGAAGTTGGATGATTTTCTGTAATATTGCTGATGTTTTCATTTTTCCTCCAGCTAGGCGACGTTGCCGACGGCGCCCGTAAGAAGCGTACAGCTGCAGACCATTTTGTGGCCCCGACTGACGGGAAAAAGGGCCATCGCCATCGTCGCCATCATCGCCACCTTCGCCACCGCCTTCGCCACCACCGGGCCAGGAGGTGAGCGACTCCAGGGTTAAAAACAAACAAACAAAAAAACAAAAAACAGCCCGGTCACACTTGGACTTTTTGCTTGTAATGTTACAACTTGATGATTGAACTTTTCCTTGTGCTATATCTCATTCAAAAGTACGACTTGCTTCATCTGGTACATGTAGCACATTCTCGTCCAAATTTCTTTGACTTTACGACTTATTACACAAATTATGGCTTTTTTTTTTGTAATATCTACATCCTTGTTCAAAGGTACGGCATCACGCCGCCAACGCGGTAAGAAGGCCAACTTCAAAATAAACCGAAAGCAACCGAATAATAATAATAATAGACATCAATGCCTCAGTATACTTTTACTTTGAAGTTGTTTCCGGCAGCGTGTTGCATCGTAATGGCTGACTTGACTCGCTGTCCAGACTCTGAGGCAATGTCGTCACAAATTGCTGCGACTTCCTATCGACTGGGACGACACAACGGCGTCGTCAACTAAGGTTCAGTCGCTGGTTAAGGTTGCTAAAAAAAAACGACTTAATTACGCTGACACTGTATTCTACATGGGTGCGTATTTCGACACAGGATTTGACGATAATTCCTGGACAAATTTCTTGTAATACATTGTGTGTGCGTGTATCGTCAAGACATTTTTTCCCAAAACAGCCCAACCTCCGAAAGGGCCTTTATTTTCTTGTCAATGATTTTTTTTTCTCCATGATCCAAATATCGCAATGTTTGTTTTATTCTTCACATCTTCATTCCTCACCCTTTGTGATTTTGCGTCGAATGGGGCAAAATGAATGGACCCCTTTCTTTTTTTTTTGCGCCACCTCATCCAAAGAAACTTTGCTACTGGCACTATAAGATGCAAACGATGTGGGACACACACACGCACGCACGCACACACACACACACACACACACACACACACACACACACGCGTACACTCTCTCTCTCTCTCTCTCTCTCTACATGGGTGCGTATTTCGACACAGGATTTGACGATAATTCCTGGACAAATTTCTTGTAATACATTGTGTGTGCGTGTATCGTCAAGACATTTTTTCCCAAAACAGCCCAACCTCCGAAAGGGCCTTTATTTTCTTGTCAATGATTTTTTTTTCTCCATGATCCAAATATCGCAATGTTTGTTTTATTCTTCACATCTTCATTCCTCACCCTTTGTGATTTTGCGTCGAATGGGGCAAAATGAATGGACCCCTTTCTTTTTTTTTTGCGCCACCTCATCCAAAGAAACTTTGCTACTGGCACTATAAGATGCAAACGATGTGGGACACACACACGCACGCACGCACACACACACACACACACACACACACACACACACACACGCGTACACTCTCTCTCTCTCTCTCTCTCTCTCTCTCTCTCTCTCTCTCTCTCTCTCTCACTCACTTACCCCCACCCCCCCTCCGCGTGCGCGTTAATGAGTGACAAAGTGTTGTGATTAGCGTTGGAGGCTACTGGGGCTGTCTGAGCCTAATTACGTGAAATGCACTGGCGCGCTTCATGTTCCCAAACTGACGAGGACGTCCACGAGGCTCATTTGCGAAGAAGGCGCCTTTTGTCACTGGAAGCACTTTGCCACCCGTACTTGCTCTTTTTTGGGATCTGATTTTGTGCCCACATACATCCGGGCCCATCGGCAATACACTGTAGGCACTCGTGATTATCTTCTTCCCGTATGTGGATATGTTTGATTCGGCTTGAAATAATGACAGACTGACGGTGACGGACAGGTGTCCAGGCCGCTGACGAATGACGGACCGGCACAAATGTAGTATATTGCTCACTTGTGAATGTCATCTCCTCCAATCAGCTGTCTGTGTCTTCTTTACCTTTCACGTAAAGACATATTCTGTTACCTCAAATACAAATTGCATATTTATCATTTTTTTAAATATACGTAGCTGTGTTCTTGTTCAATGGTCTGACTTTTTCCTGCCAATCTTCTGACGCAATTGTACAATCGTTAAGTCATTTCAAACTAAGCACAAATCATCAACAACGTCAAACCGATTTAGAACTGGTCTGCATCTTTCATAAAGGGCCATTGCATGCGATTCTCCATATCTACGCACCTTATACATGCGATACGATTCAAGGATGCAACAATTTCAAAATGTAATGATTTGTTTCATCTCATCCACAGTGATTTTCTGATTCAAATCGCCTTTTTGTTACAAACCTGTTTGGTAAAAAGCTACATTCTTGTCCAAAAGTACAACTTTTTTTTTTCTCGTAATATTATAACTTTATAATGGTTGAAAATTCAGACTTTTAGTAAGATTGCGACCTCATTATTGTACAAATTCAGACTTTTTCCTGGATTATATCGAACATCCTCTTGGGAAAGTCTTAACTTTTTTTCTGGTAATGCTGTTTTGACTTTTGGACAAATTCTGATTAGATCTTATGTTACGGCTTTATTATGCTCTAAATCGTGAGTGTTTTTTTTTTTTTTTTTTAAGCTAGCTAGCCTAGCAAAAAAATTATACATAATAATTCTACCCAGCTCTTCTGAGAGCACATCGAATTAGCGTGTGAAAATGATGCGGAGGAGTCTTTTGATTTCTTGTTTCCTTCCGCCGCCTCCGAGCAGCGCGACGCCATCATTGGCGTCTTCACGGGGATTCATCATCACATCGCTGTCGAATCATCTCAAATAGACTCGCTGACAAGCTGGCTTTTGATTGTTTGCAGCCGGGAATCGTCGGGAGCAGCCCCCCCCCCCCTCTCTCTGATCCGCACAATGAGTCACGAGGATTAAACAAAATGAAGAAGGCTTAATAGTGGCGCCTGTACGTTAATGTCGCAAACGTCTCATGTGGAATTTAACATTGGGAAAGAATTTTTCTCAGTTACATGAACAAATGTTATTTTATTTACTTTATTCTCTGTAATTTAAATAGTTTTACTCTTAATATTAATATTAGTTCTTAATATGGGTGCAATTACTTAGTTACATGAACAAATGTTATTTTATTTACTTTATTCTCTGTAATTTAAATAGTTTTACTCTTAATATTACTATTAGTTCTTAATATGGGTGCAATTACTTTTTCACAAAAGTAGTTTGGGATTTTTTAATTTTTTTTGTGTGACTTACAAATTAAATTGGCATCTCGAAAATGCATTTCGTATTTCCTGAAAATTGGTTTGATGAACTGAAACATTGGCATGTGATAAATATGCAAAGAACAGAGAAATCAAGAAAGGGGCAAATAATATTTCACAGCACTGTACAAATCGCCTTTGCATCGTGATGATATGACAAGCGTTTTCCCGCGCTAGTTGCGACGTGATTCTCATACAAGTGACGGCGTTCTCGTGGCTAAAATTTCAATGTCGGGCAAATTGCGACGTTGGTTTTCTGCTGATGTTGTGACTTTCTTTCTCCTGCCCGACAGCACCTCCTTTGACGAGGACCTGTCACTGCAGCCCAAAGGCAAGAAGAAGAAAAAGGACTTTCTTTCTCCTGCCCGACAGCACCTCCTTTGGCGAGGACCTGTCACTGCCGCCCAAAGGCAAGAAGAAGAAAAAGAAGAAGAAGAAAAAGAAAAAGAAGACGAAGAGCAAGTCAGAGCGCAAAAGGCTGACCAGCAGGTGACTTGCATGAGTGATATTATTTCGCAAAAAAGTTTTGTTGCGACATCTCCTGATGTTAACATGACAGTATAATGGTGGTGTACCTGTCGAATTATGACTCTGTTGTAAAAAGTTGTAATTACGTTTTTAACATTTTCCGTACTTTATTCTTTTTGCATGAGTGATATTATTTCGCAAAAAAGTTTTGTTACGACATCTCCTGATGTTAACATGACAGGAAAAAAATATAATGGTGGTGTACCTGCCGAATTATGACTCTGTTGTAAAAAAATGTACCGGTAATTACGTTTTTAACATTTCCTACAATTTTCCGTACTTTATTCTTTGAAATTTTATTTTTCATAGAATTACAACGCCAAGTCCCTGTAATGAATCATTCGTAAAAGTTAAATCTTTTTTGTTTGTTTGTTTGTTTCTGTTCTCAGCTTTATTCACTTAAGCTTATGAGAGATATTACATATTTTTTTTCCTAATGGTAATGCAAATTTATTTTTATTTAAAAAAAAAGGCAACTTTCTTTTATATAGTTAGCCTCGGCCCTTCTTTGGCTTTTCCTCTCGTCCTTGAACTGCGCAGCTCGTCCTTCAGCACAGCTCGGTGCTGCCCCCCCATGTTGTGGTGTAAGGCGGTACTACACCAAGGCCGTGCCGCTCGAAATTCCCGACTTGTCTGAATCTTCCATGGAGTCTTACGATTCCATTTGTACCTTTAGGTCCACTTAAGCTTATGAGAGATATTACATATTTTTTTCCTAATGCAAATTTATTTTTATTTTTAAAAAAAAGGCAACTTTCTTTTATAGTTTAGTTAGCCTCGGCCCTTCTTTGGGTTTTCCTCTCGTCCTTGAATTGCGCAACGCGTCCTCCAGCACAGCTCGGTGCTGCCCCCCACGTTGTGGCGTAAGGCGGTACTACACCAAGGCCGTGCCGCTCAAAATTCCCGACTTGTCTGAAGCTTGCACGGAGTCTTACGATTCCATTTGTACTTTTAGGTCGCCTTCTTGCAGCCCCTCTCCGCTGAGGAAGAAGAGAAAGAAGAAGATGAAGAAGAAGAAGAAAAGTTCCAAGAAAAGCAAGCGGCACAGGTAAGCGTGGCCTCGTTTGCGCAAGCCAGGCATCTTATAATTAACGGGATCAACTAATGAGAATTCTGGCTTGTCCTTCCTTCTAGATATACCTCCAAAAAGTCCAAACACAGGTTTGTCCGTTGAGTGTTGGCCATGCTAATGTTTACACGCAGCGGCTGTGTTGCGAATCACATCCACGTACACGACTTCCGTATGGATTACATTTCATGTACGTGTCACATCGTGGCCCAAAATGCCCCCGAGGAATGCCGTTGTAGTGGTTCAGGAGTTAATGAAGCTTTCGGACCGACTATGATTTCATTCTCACACAAATTCCGACTTCAACAACACGACGGTGATTGTGAGCTTGCCTTGCGTTTGAATGTTTGGCGAATGCTCGTGATTTTTCATCAAATGGCGCCATATGTCGGCAATTAGAAACTTTCCACTCTCGCGATTCCCAACGCAGCCCAAGTCATAGAAAAATGGGGAAAAAAAACCCCAAACAAAACACTTATTAATGATTTGCACGAGATGATGAGGATGATCCTGAAGCTGTTTGTTGTCTTTGTTGTAGCGGCTCGTCGCGTTTCAAACGATCGCCAAAGGACGGCCGCAAACGGAAGCGAAGGTCAGTCGGTTGAATCCCTCCGAGGAGAAGCAGTCCTCAGTCCCAAAAATCTTTTAAGTGCTTCCAAATTTTGACTTAAGTCTCGCACAAATTGCTAGGTTTTTGTGTGTGTGTGTGTGTGTTCGTTTTTTGTGTGTGTGTGTGTGTGTGTGTGTGTGTGTGTGTGTGTGTGTGTGTGTGTGTGTGTGTGTGTGTGTGTGTGTGCGTGTTATATTGTCTTCATTCTGTTCAACATAATTATTATTATATATATATTTTTTGTCACCCAAATTACATTTCGCCAAATTTCTTCTTTCTCTAAAATGTGGACTCCCCTCTCCCCTCATCTCGGGGCTTTGTCCTAAAATTGCGTTTCATTGTAATATCACAACTTTAAGGTTGCATTCGATATGACTTTCCAGCTTTGTTTTTTTTTTTTTTTTCATTAGCGTTCATGGTTTTGTTTTTTTGGGGTTTTTTTGGTCTTCAAGCAGCTTTGTTATTTTTGCTGTATTTTTTAAAATGCATTGTTTTACTTTCATTTTTTTTCACCATAGGATTATTATCATTTTTTAAAATATATGGAGTAATTGTCAAGCGGAAGAAAAAAGTACTGCGGAATTTTAGCGAGAATGGGGGTGGTCACTGGTAAGAGTGTTGACATTTAATCGAGACTGGGTCATTTTTTAAAATATATGGAGTAATTGTCAAGCGGTAGTACTGCGGAATTTTAGTGAGAATGGGGGTGGTCACTCGTAAGAGTGTTGACATTTAATCGCGACTGGAAGAAATGCCTGCATTACTCCCTCTCGCCTCTAGGGGCACCATGTCAAATTTTGGATTGTTTCGAGGGTCATTGACAAAAAGCCTCGTGAAGTCAGTCTTAAAATATGAAGGGGGCGACAATAAAATAAGTTGACTTATTTTACCCAAAATAGAGTTTCATACTTCCACCCAAACACACACACACACACACGCACACACAAAATTGATAGTAGAACTTCTTTGTTGTTGTTTTCGTAATTTCTCAACTTCTTCCTCGAGGAAATTGTCGTAAAGCTGTCGATGACGTTTGTTTCCTCAGCTCTCGGAGCGGCTGGCGGGGGAAACGCCGCCGCGGCAGCTCGGCGTCAGACCGCCCGTCGTCATCGGCGGAGGACAGGTAGGACACGAAAGCTCTCGTTCCCTTTTCAGCCGATTCCCAACGCGTTTCCTGCTCGCTAATCTCGGATTTGAAGGATTTGTTAAATATCTGAAAGGATTACTCGAGCGCCACCAAATGACTAGATATTAATTTTTCAAAGATACAAAGTGAGTATGAGCCACGACATTGGGTTTTGAATAGTGAGTGAGGGGACGTTGCGCAGCATTTGACTTTTTAATGCCAAAACAATTTGTGGCTAAGATGAGTCTTATCGCGTGGAGCAGCCAGAAAGTGCAGGTGCCTCTTCTTATTTTATCGCCGTGCTGAAGGAAACGCTCGCAAGATGGGCAATTTTCACAAAGCTGATTTTTAATTTATTTTCAATAGATTTTTTTTTTTTTTTTGCACCTGTGGTGCTAACTGTTCAATCAATCCGCAGTTTCATATTAAATTGCGTCATTTTTTTTTTTTTTAAATAAAAGTGTGAATTGGGCTGTCTTGTTATGTTGGTTCTTGTTTGGCAAGCACAAAAAAGATCCAAAACAAGAAATAATCCCCAAAATCAGTTATAAGTGACATTTTCTGTGTTTTGTGACAAAATTCACGAGGAAAACAGCAGAGAAATGTTGAGGCCGTCTGGGGAAATTCAACTTGTTCATGGGGAGGTTGGTAATGACATTTGTGATACTTTGCCGCCCTGTTCTTACAGACCTTCTGCATACAAAAAGCAATGCAGTCCCACGTCAGAGGCCAAGTGGACCAACGGCGGCAGCGTCTCCAAATCAGTAAAAACAGCCTCCGTCCTCTCTGCCGCCTGCGTAAGTCCTTCTGCTCACTCTCCCGTTGTCTTTTTGTGATTTTTTTTTTTTTTTTTTTTTTTTCCTCGTTGGCAAAGGGGACGGCGACGTCGTTGTGGCGTGTGGCGATAACGTGTCGGAGAATACCAGCATGTCCGTTGGGGAAAATATTATGAGGGAAACGTACGATGGGGTGACACTTGGTTAATATTTCGTTGTTCAATGACGAGGAGGAAGAGGAGTCACGTTCTTATATTTGACAAAAAAAGTAACAAAAAAAAAAAAAAGACAAAGGCATTGTGTGCAAAATGCCGCGTTTTCACAATGTTCTATTTGGGACTCTCGGTTCACTCGGCTCCCCCTACGCACGAGGCCGTCACATTGTGCCCGACGTTTGCAAATTTAGCAACCTGAATCAACGTCAACACAGCAAAAAACAAAATGAGCCTGGAAAGGAATCCCCAGTCAGCGGGGTCTCGGGGTCGGTGGGCAAATCGTGTCGCCAAATTGCGAAACGGACGCAGTTGACAGTTTGCGCGCTACAAACACTAAGTGGGACTGATTGGCTGGTGGGAAATCCAATATGCAAATGAGGGTCACTCGCTCCCCTTTTGCTGAATCGGTCGCAACCTGTACTCAACATTTGTCGTCATTGATTGGACTAACAAAAAGGAATGGACGCACGGCTAATTGGGAGCGTAATTAGTCCAGCATCGACTTTTATCATCTCCCACGGAGCCTCTTCACAATTTCCGTTTCGGTTTTGGTGGGTTTGGGGAAAAAAAAAAAAAAAAAAAAGGCAACATTACCACTTTGTTCAAATTACAACGTGCGTGTTTTTTTTTTTAAATTTACCTTCAGTTTGAAATCTGCTTTTGAATAAAGGCGACGGATGCAAAAAATAAAAATAAAAATAGAATCTGATTACAGTAATCAATTCATTGAAAAAAAATTGATAGATTCACTGAATATTAAAAACTGTTTGTTACACTTGTAGTCCTGACAAAATTATGATCTAAACAGCGTTGATGGGAGCAACTGACTTTTTTTTTCCATTGCTTGTTTTTTTTTCCTTCATGGACAGCTCTCTGGTTTGATGTTGGTTACATCTGTGACTATTTTCTAAGATATTGCGGTCTCCACACATCATGTGAAATTGCCGATGGGCGGAGAAGACACTCGTTCAAACAAGGTTCACCAAATTTTGGTGTATTGTCTTGCCCGCGATCAGAAAGGGCTTCCCGTGCCTCTCCCCAAAAGAAAAGAAAACAAACAAACAAAAACAAACAGAAAAGTCCAAGTGATTGTCTTTTTCTTGCCAATTCACTTCTCTAATGATGCACTTATGTTGCCCCCCTTTTTCTTACACTTTCCCTACTTAAGGAGGAAATCGTGATTGGTAAGTGGATGCTGTCCCCCGCGGATTGTTCATACTAGGCTAGGCTAGGCTAGGCTAATGGCAGAAGGAAAAGTTCGTTTAGCGAGGCCTCGCTTTAGCTTACGCCGATGGCACCTCGCCATTTTCTTTGTCTGCGACATAGAGAGCCCGTTTTGTGGTGTGTGTTTATCCAGTCAGGCTTGTGGGCCGACGCACCCCCTCTTTTTTCCGTCTCCTTTGGGGAGTGGTAGACGCTAGATTTTTCTTTGTTTCCACACGTTTGCTTTCTCTTCCTTTCAGGAACACTGGTCCCTTGACTTACGAGTTTTTCGGAGGGCTACTTTGGTCACTCAGACTGGGCGCTGCTTGTTAACAACTGTTTCTGAGAGGGAGGAAATACTGATCAAATAAATTAGGCAAATATAAGTAGCATTTTCGTAAGATCGAATACACTCACTCTAAAACCAAATGAAAACTAAGTGAATGTAAAAGAAGTTCAAACAAAATAAAAAGGACCAGTAATAAAACTGTTTTAACCCTGATCAATATATTTTGCTTTTGTAACACCCTCAAACTATAAAACAACAAAAAAGACACTGAGTTTTGGCCAGTAAAATATATTTTTATTTACAACTAAGACGTGCACGACGCTGAGCGACGCCGACTCACCGCACGGCTGGAGTTGAACTACAGTGGCTTTTTTACATGTCGTTTGCTCTTCACTTCCAACTGTTTTTTTTCCAGTTATGAGACACTTTCTTTGAAGTACCGCAACACCATACTGTTCTTTACCATACATATTCCGTCGGGGTGTCCGGTACCTAAACTTGTTCACCTTCTAGTTTGTTGGCATTTCTCGAACTGTGATTCATCTCCAAGTCTTGACCATCCACTCAAAAGCTGTGCTGATCTCATATCCAAAGCGAAGCGGCGCCATCATCTGTTGTCCATGACGGTTATATCGAAGAAACCATTTCATAAGTAAGCTGGGCGGGAATCTTTTCCACACCTTCCAGTTGGAAAACGTTCTTGACAAATACTACACGTTTGTCAGTGGATGGATTCCAAATGACGAACTGAAATGTCTATGGCAGACGGCGAGAGAAGTTGAAAAACTATTTGCTTACATTATTACTATACTGTATATTGCCACAACATTTTTTTGGTATCGTGTCGGAACGGATTAATGACATTTCCGATTATTTAAGCGGGCACAGCTGATTTGAGATATGAGTGATTTGAGTTGCAGTCCTAGTCACGGAACGGACGGATGAAACTCTTAAGTCAAGGCACCACTGTCAGTGTTTTAGCCGAGAGCGCTTTTTCTACTCTATTCTGACTGCATGCCTCAAATTTGCATGACGTCTCTTGAGCGCTTCAAAGTTTGAGGAGGCCCGATAAGTAATTTTTTTTGGGGGGGGGGGGCTGTTTCTAGTGTGTTTTTTTCACAGGAATATGAGGATGATTTCACTGTGTAGCCGCTCAAACCGGTGATTGTCGGCTGCTTCTGTCTGCCTACAGACATTCTTCTCAAAGCCTTCCCGAGGACAAGTGTCCGGCCAGGATGAGCGGTCGCACGACTGTGACTCCGGTAACGACACCTCATCGCCACCGTCCTGTGAGACGGGCGTGGCCGACAAGAGTGAGGCGCGGCGGCGGCGTGCTTTGCCGTCGCCGGCCAAGCAGCCATTCGCCGACAGGGACGATGACGTCTCTGACTCTGGGAATTCGGTGACCAGCTACGCTTCCTTGTGCAAAGTCGGCGGGGAAGACGGCTTGAGCGCCGCTCTCCTCAAGAGGTGAAGTCGTGCTAGCCGTCCCTGGGCTCAGTGAACAGGCCACACCTTTTCAAATGGTTGCCTCGCTTCACTCCGCTAAGCATTCAAATTGTCACTCGGAAAACCTCAAAAAGTTTAATTGTTACAATATATGACATTTTTGTTAAATTATTGGCACGATTCAATTGTTCCATGTTTAAAAATTGTTAAAAATATGTACATTATTTTTATACTACAATGACAGCATACAGTATATTGGTAGGATAAAGCACTATTATTGCATGTGTAAGGTGAAAACATCCGGGCATAGGAATGAGCCTTGAGGGATACCCAAACGTCCTGTAAGATCGCAACATTGGCGTGTATCTCATGCGGTTGGCGAGAATGAAGTCTTCAACTTGAAATGTGCTTTCCTCACAGAGAGCACGAGGCTTTGGGATGTCGATTCGACACGGTGAGATCGCCACGGATGTCTTCCAGGGGACGATCGAGCCCCGAGTGGCATCGCCGGCGCGGGAGGAGCATGTCCTCGGGAAGTTCCAGATACTCCGGACGGCGGCTTCCAAGCTCGTCGCTGTCATCTGCCAGGTCCGAAGTGCTTTTTAAAATAGTTGCGCAAACGCAGTTGACGATTTGTTGTGGCGATGTTGATTTTTTGGTGGCTGTCATTGTAGCTCCTACTCGCGTTCGCCGAGCTATTCGCTGGATCTTAGGCAGCGGCGGGGCAGCTTGAGCAGCGTCAGCTCTAGAGGAAGCTACTTCAGACATCGCAGGTCAAATTGAAATTTTTCATTGAGAGAAAACACTTGAAGGCGAGGTCTCATAACAATGGTGACCAGGCCAAATAGTCAGCAGCATACAGTACACATCACTTAACGTATATCACAAATACATAAATGAGAACATGGGTTATGCACTTAGATCAGATTTATGCACTTTATTCATTTATTGTCAATTTGACAATTTTTCGCAAAGATCCCGTATGTAAAAGGAGAATAAAATGATAGCCTGTGATCGAGCCTTGTGGCACACCTCAAGGAAAATCAGTGGCCGAAAATACAAAACCAAGATCCACTGACCCGTCGGCCTCCGCAGATCGCGATCCAGAAAGCGAGCGTCGAGCTCTCGAGAGACGGACGGCGACCGCAAGATCAGCAGGAAGAGACGAAGACGCAAGTCCTACTCCCCCGTGAGGAAGAGGAGGAGGGACTCGCCCAGCCACCTGGAAGCCAGACGGATCACCAGGTATGCAAATCTTCACCCCCACAAATACATATACTAATTAGTGAAAAAAAATAACTTATACGGGGTGCTTAACAAAAAATGAACATTGTTGACGTTTTTTTAGACCTTTACCGATACCCAGGCAGAAAAAACAGAGAGATTCACTGTTTTATAGTGCATTTCGGATGCAATGTAACTCAATATGCTTCACCTACATTACGTCGAGCAAAGTGGAGAGAGTGGTGCAAAATAGCGCTGCATTCCTCGGTAAGTCGCTTCTCAGACGTTTGCCCCTTTGGTGGTCCGCAGCGCCCGCAAGAGGCCCGTCCCGTACTTTCGCCGCAGCCCTTCGTCCTGCAGCAGCCTCAGCGCCCCGTCACCCAGAAGCCTGTTCCACCTTTGCCGCCGTAGCGTGTCCTCCTCCTCCTCCTCCTCCTCTTCCTCCTCTTTGGCCTGCAAGAGCAACAGTCGCAGCTCCTCGTGGAGCTTTGAGGCGCGCCAGCGCAGTACCAGCAGGTATTAGCTGTCCCTCAACAAATCAGTCGAAACAATTTGCACCCAGAGACTATTTCGACGGCAATTCCGCCTTGTTGCTGCTGTTTGGTTTTCATTGTAAACACATTTCAACGCTCGGTTTTCGGTCCTCTTCAGGGGTGTGTTATGTTGTGTGTTGTGATGTCGCTTTGAAACGGTTGAGGATGTTTTGAAGACGGCAGCTCAAATTCCGTCTCAGTGCTAAAGCATGCGAGTTGGCGGACTTGGTTGACCTTGTCCGGGCTACAGCAACATCCCGACTGATTTTGATTGCATGATGTCGGCCGTTGTGAGGACCCAGCTGCTTTGATTTGCTGATTGCAAGTCTGCGTTTGACCTTTGAGGGACTGCTGCGAGGCAGGATAGCAAGGTCCCGAGCAGCAGTGCCTCAGCCACCACATCCGTGCTAAAATGTTTCCAAATCTTCTGAAATCCAACAATTTTGGGGGAAATGATCACACCCGAGCAAGAATCCTTCTGCTTTGACTTGCCACTTACATATGTGCTTTCATCATGAAGGGATTATTGACATGTTTGAGAAGAAGATCGTGTTTGATGATATCTGGACTCCATAAAATAATCCAAATCAAGAATCTAATTTTTTGGGGCCAATGGCTGGTCTGACTTCAAGCAAATGTTGGCTAGTATGCGAGCAGGATTCGTCTTAATTTTGCTGGATGCCAAAGCCACGATAACTGGGCTCAGAGATTTTTGGGTTTTTTTGGTGGGGCGGTGGGGGATTTACATTTTTCAAGGATTATTATTGTACACCTATAACAATGGAACTGCTATGAATTCCTACTTGCTTATCTTCGCTCACCTTGATGTAATTGTTGGCACTTATGGGAGTAAGATCCCGAGAGATTTTGACTGATATGTGAACCGAAATGTCGGGAGTGAACAAGGTCCAAATTCCTTTGAAATATTCCAAAAGCAGCATTTCAGTTGTATTGAGCTTTTTAATGGTACTTTTTATGTTGTCCACCGAGATAGTTGCACCAATCCATATTTCAATTTTCATAAAGTGGACTATGCAGTTGATTAAGTATAAATCATTTTTAAGGATTTTTATACAGTGATGTATGATGAATCGAATACTCCCTAATCACGAAAATATTTATATGGCGAGCGATGCATCGATTTATCTCACGGAGTACAGAACGAGCGACGGATTGCAAACGCGATGGCCATTTTCCTGCTTTCAAGCTGGTGGGAAAAGACAAAATGGCATCTGGAAGCGCAAATGGTCAAAGAATTTCTCCTGCGGTAGATTGCAAACAATCCAAATGTCATCGCAGCCACAGAAGAGGCGCAGGATTCCTAAAAATCGATTGGAAAGAAAAATTAAAAGGAGTGGAAGGCAAGCAGAATAAACAGCGTCGCTCATGTTCAGAGTGTTTGAATCCTATTGAATATTAATGTAGTATATCCAACCGCATACATATTTATAGCTTATTTCAATGCTTATTGCTTTGTCGTCGTGGCTAAGCTCTCTAGGCAACATGTCCATTTCCGGTTATGACAGCCCTCGAGTAAATTATTCTTGTGCTCTTAATATGAATATTTGAAAAAAGAAACAGTTGACCTTTTGGTTTATTCAAAAAGAATATAAATAGTTTGACATTCAGAAGAAGCAGCTGCTAAGCGTATCACCTGTGCTCCGGTTCGTGTACCAGCTAGCGGGCGACTCCATGAGCTTGTGTAGCGTTGCTTTCCAATAAAATGAAAATAAGGAATTTGAGATAAGATAAGAAAAACTTTATTTGTCTCACAATGGAGAAATTCCCAATTTACAGCAGCAAATGTGATCTATTTAGTTTCTCGCGAGAGTTATGTGAGGAATCAATATGCACTGAGTTAGCATAGTACCTTGGCAGCTAATCAAGCACCTAGCGGACTGATCTGATCGAACTTTTTAACCCCCCCCCCCCAAAAAAGAGGAAATTAAGTAATTTAACATTTGATTTGATACCGTATAGCCACCTCGATACTGTCTTGTAACGTAATTGGAATGGCTCTGTGTTAGTTAGCATAGATGCTAGCGGGGCTAATCTGTTAGTTTGCACACCATCCACTGAATAAACGCCTCGCTACTACGTCAGCGGGTAAGCGTAAAGCCTCCACTCCGTTTCGCACATCAATGAGCAGGCTAATCGGTTAGCTTGTGCGCCAACCCTTTCGTGTTAAAAAATGGGGGGGGGGGGCGAAGAATTTGCCATTTATTTGCTTTTTTTGACTGAAGTTGCGTGAAGATACCAAATAACCACAGAGGTACTATTTTAGCGTTTCAGAGGAATCCCTTTAGCGCTAAATTAGCTAATCATTTTTTTTTTGTGTGCCAGTAAAAAAAAATTATATATATATATATATATATATACACACACACACACATATATTCACAGAGGAATGAGGTTATTTATTTCCATTTTGTCACACTGTCCTGTAATTACGTTGGTGTAAATATGCTTCTGTATGAACTGTAAATATGTAAATGCTGGTCCGTATGGAACAATCTTACTGTAAATGTAAAAAGAATAACTCGAAAAATGTAAAAATATCCATCTGTAACTTTGTCAGTGTTTCACAATCAGCAGTTCTCTGAAGTTTTAAATTGATCTCTTACCAGAAGATACTTCATCGAAATGACAAATTCCTGTGTGGATAATTGGCCCACCAAAAGGACCTATGATTATTATTATTACTGCTACTAATAATAATTTATATTTTAAACCTAGAACATTTTTGAATAGGCATTGATGTATAGCCAGTAAGAGTGGATCCCCACCAAAAGAATGAATTATGTCAATCTTATGCAAATTGTCTTTGTTTTTTTTTGGTTTTTGTTTTTTTGTCCAATTGTAATTGTTCTCTTTGCTTGTGTACAGTTGATGGTGGCCCTAATCCTCCTGTATTTGTTCCGTCGGCGTGAAATGAGTGTGTGTCACGAATAAAGATGAGCAAATGCTCTTATGGAGGTAAGAAAGCAAATCCAGGCGTGTTCCTTTTGCCGCGCTGACTTCAACCGCTTGACTCGTCTTCTATTCTGGCCGGCGTGACTCATTCATGCAAAGGAGCCAACGCTGTAAAAAGTGTCTCCTCCGCACCCGTTGCGCGGCCTTAAATCAACTTCTTCTCTACAGAAAAAAGCAATCAGAATAATCAATTGGTCTAAATATATCGAACCCACAAATCCACTATTCATCAAATCAAATACAATGAAATTCTATGACCTGGTTGACTTCAAAATTGCCCAATTAATGTATAAAGCACATAACAATCTCCTTTGTCAAAATATCCAGAAGCTTTTTGAAATCAGAGATAGTTGTTATAATCTAAGAGGTATTAATCAATATAAAAAATCCAGAACAAGAACAAACATCAAGCAAAGGTGTGTATCAGTAATAGGAGTTAATCTGTGGAATAAGCTTGAGATGGATCTGAAAATGAGTAAATCTTTGGACGAGTTCAAAAACAAATTCAAAAGATTAGTACAAAAAAACTACATAAAACAAAGTTAAGAAGATAAATTTTACATACTGGTACTTATAAAATATAGTAATACTATGGTTTGTTCTTGTTCTGGATTTTGAACAACTTATTGAATGTATTCAAGAAATGTGGTATATATAATGAATATGAGTCATTTGATATAAAAAGTAGAAAGAATAATGATACATATATACAAACCGAAAGGTGTATCAATAGATAAGCATAGTACACAAAAGGGTAAAAGTATTTGATGAAATTTAGATTTCTTCTTTTTCTTTGGTATTGGAAATGATCAATATACATTATTGCTCAAAAAGGGGTAGGACTAGATAAGTGGTATACTTCTTCCTACTCCTTTGAACATATAACTGTGATGATGTTTGTATTACTTACTTTTACTTTTATTTTCCTTTCATAATTTTTGTTTGCATTTTGTCATGTTATTGTATGTTTTATATATGTTCAATAAACAAACAAACAAACATGATTTGACTCACAACCCGCCATCTGAATAGTTGTCGCAGTGAGCGCAAGTGCTTTTCCTTGACTGTTGACGCTTTCTCGTGACAGTTCCAGGACTTTGGAAAGTGGCTGCCGGGTGATTTATTTATTTTTTTTACAGTCTTGCGCACTCCTCCAGTACGTTCCAGAGAGTGGAGCCGCTATAAAAGGAGAGCCGCGGGAGGGGTGGGCCATTGGCTCCTTTTTTTGGTGCTTTGGACGTGGACGGCGATGCGCCAGCCGCTGGACAAGTTGCCGAGCTTCTGTTGACTTGGATCGGACATGGCGGAGGGAGACTTTTACACCGTGGGCGGGCGGCAGAGGTTCCCGCGCGACCCCTTCGGCGAGTCGATGGCCTCACGCTTCCTGGCGGAGGACGACTTTGGCATGCCGTCCTTCCCGGACGACCTGTCCATGGACTGGCCCGGCTGGGCCCGGCCGGGCCGGCTGAGCTCCCGCCTTGGCTCGTCGACGCCGCCCTTCGGGAGCGGCCTGCGGGCGGCCTTCCCGGAACGCCGGCGGTCGCATTGTGGAAGTGTCAGGTGAGCCCCCCTCCCCCCCCCCCTCTTATTCTTGCTCTGTTGAAGTTGTTCTTGTTGCTGTTTGCTTTGGGTATCACAACTTGTAAAAATGGACAATCTCTGCGTCAATGTTTTGGACGCAACATTCTTTTTTTTCTTTGTCAAGGCTTTTTTTTTCCCCCGAAAAATTACAGATTAGTTTCACAATTTATAAAACATTCCTACGATTTAAAAAATCATGAAGTGAAAACAAATCGCACCCTGACGATTTTCTCAAATGTGCGTTTTTTTTTTAATTACAAAATAAATCATATTTATTTTAATCCCAAAAAATTTTATTTTATTTTATTCTTGAAATGTTTTTTCTTCAAGATAAGTTTATTTTTGTAATTTGCTAAATCTGAAGCAATTGTTCAATCATAAAGAATAAAAAACGTGAGAATTTTCTCATTCAAGAGTTTCCAATTTTTCATTCATGAAAAAAAATTCAAATTTATTTTTGCGACAATTCATAACTTTAGGATTCAGTGAAATGCTAATTTGTTGGAATTTTCTTTTCTTTTTTAATGGCTGTGCCACTTTTACGTGTATTGATTGATTATTTGGCCCATGCAGATTTGCATGAAATCTGCCCAGCGACCGGTTGCAGCGAGCATGTTTGCTTGCCGAACGATTTCTCATTCGCAGACGGACAGTCCAAAGTTCTCTCCTGCTGTTACTCGAACACCTGTCGCGCATTCCTCGAGCCTCGCTGCCGTTCCCTTGGCGGCCACGACCGAGCCAACCCGTACAAACAGCTCGCTTGTCGTCAACGCTTAGGACAGAATGTTCTGGAAAGTTGTTGGCGTTGCGCTCGTCGTGTTCAGTCGCGCTTTGTCGGAGATCGGAACTGCGGGAAGGTTGAACGCTTTGGCGACTTCTAGGGACCCCGCAGCCCACCCCCGGTGCCCCTTCCATGACTTTGTGTGTATGGTATGCCAGTTGGGCGGTTCAGTCAGCAGCTGTCACCGGAGTCTCGACCTCATTCTAAAAGTGTGGCAACAACGTGCTCGGAGGCTTGCGGGAAGAAGCGGAAGACCCCAATTGAGCAGCAACAGTCAGAGACCAGTCCGGAAATCTTGTTGACTTGATTTGGGAAATATTAGTGGGAAATTCATTTTGCAGCATCAATTTTGGCAGGTGTGTGTGTGTGTGTCATGTGTAGTCCCACCAAAAAAGCCTTGCGGGAAAATGCAATGGCAAGTCTGCCATTTTGTTTTTCAGTCTGTCCGCCTCGAAGACAACTTATGTCACCTTAATGATTCCAAAATTTTGCCCCCCACAGCCAGTTTTACTTGGCAACATGACATTTGGTTAGCATATGTCTGTCATGGCTCAAGCCACAAAAAAAAAAAACAACTCTCAAAATTTACAGCAAGTCTTCTATTGACCTTGGTAGGGACCTTTTTCGGCTCATTTTGGACTTCCAGGATGAACTTGTGCAAGTTGTTGTCTCGTGTCACTCACTTCCCCAAGCGCTTTGCATGTGTTTTGCTGGCGACGCACGCACAGAAGCTTCCAGAACACGTTACGCAGCACCTTTGGAATGTGCGCTCTCACTCCGCCGTGACGGAGCGCGCAAATCAGCGCGCCGCTTGAAATGGCAGGCGAGCCGAGTGTCCTCTCCTGAGACTTTGACGTGCGCCCAGCACTCGAGGAAGGCGACGAGGTTGAGGCGGCCCACGTCGCCGGCGGCTCACTTGACATTAAGCAGCTGCTCGCCGGCCTGACAGATACGAAAGACATCAGCGGGGCTTGGAAGAAGGAGGGGGGGAAGGGAGAAGCTGAGGCCGTGTGATCGCGTTCAAAAAAGACAAAATCAAAAAAACAGAGAGAGATGAACACCTGCGGTGGTTTTGTGTTCTTCAAGCATTGATTTGTTGTCCTCTTCCCGACAGGAAAACATGAAGAGAAGCAGGAGGAAGGAGGAATCGTCACAAAGAATTTCACCAAGAAGATCCAGTGAGTGGATAAGTGTGTGTGTGTGTGTGTGTGCGTGTGTGTATGATATAAATACGTCCCGTCCGTCGTCACCCCTCCCCCCTTCCCCCGAGTCACGGCTATAAATAACCGAGGCGAGGTTGCGACTGGAGCGTCTGGCGCTCCTTCCTTCCTTCGTCCTTTCCTGCGATGAGGATCCGTTTCCAGGTCGGCTGATGTTTACGTTGACCCGCCAGGGAGAAGCGTCTCGTCCGCGACCTTATTTGGCAAAGGCTTCGCACGGATATCTTCCGCTCCAACTTTTTTTCAAGCCCTTCGGGCCATTTTTGGAATGCGGGAGGAAGCCCGAGTAAAACCCACGCGTTGTATGTCAACTGGGGTTGAGGAGATGTTTTTTGTCACGATTTGCGAGGTGGTAGTTTTGGAGGACCCCAAAAAGCAGGGAGGCAGGGAGGAGCAGGGTGGAGTGACAAAATTGCAAACAGTAAAAAACACCGGAGAAACTAATTTGAAAAATCTCACTCAATTAAAGTCCAGAAAAACCAAAAGAAATCAAAGTCGCAAAAACCTAAAACAGAAAACAAAACATGACACGTGCACAGAGACACACAATGACCCGACGCTGACTGTTCGGGCAGGGAGTCCTTTTAACCACACACTCATGAAACAATGACCAACAGGTGTGCCACTGCAGGAGGAGCCCTACAGTGCCACCTGTTGGTCACAAACAAAACCACCCGAACAACTATCTATCTATCTATCTATCGAGAGAGAGAGAGAGAGAGAGAGAGAATTTTTTTTCTCATGTTACGCAAAACATTGACACCTCCTCAATATTATCTGATCAATATGATGTAATAATCTTGAAATTTCTCCTCCCCCCGGCATTGCTCTCATCGTGAATTTTTCTCCAAATCCAACAAGATTCAGACTTAACACCGCAGTCGATGTGACGTCATCCGTTTACAAATAAAACTTTGATTTGTGTGGAAGGCCTTTTCTCTCACTCTGGCACATTTTGTGCTTGACGTGACGCAATGTCGTGGTTCCCCTGGCAACCGATGTGCCGCATGTGCTCCCCCGGCAGGATCCCGACGGACGTGGACCCCCTGACGGTGTTCGCCTCGCTCTCTCCCGAGGGCGTGCTCATCATCGAAGCTCGCCAAACGCCGCCGTATTACCTCTTCAGCGACGACGCGCCGCCGCCGCCGCCTCCACCTGAGGAGGACGCCGACTCCGCCCTGAAGCTCCAAGAGGCGGCGGTGCACTAGACAAGCACCGCCCACTCTCTTCTTTACCTCCATTGTAGCAGATGATAGGAAATGTTTTGATTTGCTTTTTTTAAACAGGGTTGCACGTTGTTGCGCAATACCATGACATCATCCAAAGAATTGATATGAACATTTTGGCGCCACTCCTTGCTGTCATGTGTCAATGTGTTAAAAAAAAAAAAAAAAAAAAAGGAAAAATATTGACAACAAATCAGCCAGTCAAATCGGCCCCCGGCCAATTCATCAGTGGGGCCCTGTTTTCTTTTTGCTTAAATGCTGGAGAAAAAGGACCCCCCACCTCTCCCTTTGTTGTGTGCGCTCTTTTGTAAATAGAATTCATCCGGATTGTTCATTGGAATGTGGAGTGTTTTTTTTTCTATGCGCCGTTTTTTTTTTTTGAGGAATTTCTGTTGCAATAAAAGATGTCATCCGGCTAATTTTGTATCTTTTAGAAAGTCTGTGGCAGTCTGGTCGGTCAATGTGTCAATCATTTTGGATGACTCCAGGGTTGCCATGGCAACATCTTCATCTCATTGCTATTCATTGCTGATGTCTACCAACCTTGATATAGTTTTTACTTTTTTTTTTTTTTTTTGACATGTCGGTCGTTTTGCCGGAGGTGCCGCTGATGCGCGATTCTGCGCCACCCTGTTTCGAAATCGACAAATTGTGCTTTTTCTGTTTGTTTTTGTCCCCCCCCACCCACCACCCGACCCCCAGCTGACTTTTGAATGTCGCTTCTGCTTGTCAATACAGCCATTGCTCGCTTGTGGTGTCGTTCTCAGCTGGAGCAGTGGAGGCCGGTCAGCAGGGGGCGCTCGAAGGCAGCCACGGTCACCACCTTGCTTTCTTTGACGGTCAGAAAAATGCAAGACAGACACAATCTCTCCAATCGTTTGGATCGGACTTGGTATGTCTTTATTGGTGCGCCAAAGAAAGCGTGAAAGTGTGCGGCGGGAGGTACAGCGATGTCTTGAAACAACGAATGGCTCAACGATTGAGTTTTCCGTCATGGATGTGTGCAGGCGCAGATCGTTAGCGGTCACATCTAGACGGACGTTTTGACACTTGTGACTTTGCCGCCATTTTGGCGTGGATGCAGTGCTCTTCGAGCCATTGATATTAGCTGTATATTTCAGAAACGTGTTTGCAATCAACCGAAATGCAAAGTCAAGCATCTTGTCTTTATGAACAACATTCGCAGTCAATGTCGATCAAAATGTTTTGGTTTTTTTTTTTTCCACACCGTAGCAAGAAAGCCGCATGGCTGAGAAGTCATTGTTGATCATAGCATCCACAGCCAGGCTTTCACGAAAACAAATGCACACCTGGAGCAATCTTGTACAAGCAAGTCACGCCAAGACGAATTAATGGCACTTCCATTTCTTTCAATGAGAAACGATCATTTGCAATGCAAGTGTTTGAAATGAAGCGTGTGGTCACAAAATGAATCCAACTCGCATGTCAAGGCGCCACTGTGTAAGTAGCTCGATCACAGTATGCTCTATTTAAGGCTTAATGACGACGTCTCCACGGTAACCAGACCATTCCTACTCCTCCTCGGGCCGGGCCGCCTCCTCGGCGGAGTCGACCGGCGGCGGCATCTGGATCTCTTCATCCTCTTGGGCCGGCGCCTGCCAATCATTCCCGAGAATCTCTGCGGCGTCGACATCTGAAGGCTGCGACTCAGCGGCCGGCTCTCGCTGGCTCTCCTCGTCCTCCCGGTCGCGGTCCTCCTGGTCTTGGCACGGGGGTCCGCCGCACTCCTCTTCCTGTGAAGCTTCTGCCGGTGGGCTGCTGTCCAGGCTTTCTTCTTCTCCTGCGCCGTCGACCTCCACCTGTTTTCAGGCATGCATGACGGCGCAAAAAATGTCATGTTTTGGAAAAAACGCGCAGGCACTCGATTTTTTTTCTAAGATGGATGTCGTTGCAGGGCAGAGATGAACAGGCATCGGCGTGGACGGCCCTCCAGATGTTGGCCCCCAATTGGAGGCGCACATGCGTGAGTGATGAGTTTTGTTGTCCTTCCTCCTGCTGAAGCCAATGACTTTTTTATTTTGTCATAAGAAAAAAAAAAGAGTACTCTTCAAGTGGCTGTGGAACTTAGTACACCACCTCATGAAATGCACTACTTGTGCTGACCCAAATTGAGGTACAGTAGCATAGTAGGCCAATGTGTTCATCCACTACGAGCTGCGTTTTATTCAGAGAAAGTACGGATAATATCGTTGGATGTCAGTGGCAAGATGCACACTTTCGACAACTTGTCAAATTGTCGATTTCATGGGCAAAATAAGAAATCCAAATTCAAGATTTAAACCAGATTTAGGCTCCACTTGAGCACTTTTTGACTTTTGACCTTTGCTGAGGCATGAACCATGGCGTTTGTCCCAAACGTCTGCTACAAACCAAAATGGCCGACTTCCTGTTTGATTTCCTACTTGGCACCTTGAGGCTTTTTCAGATCTCAGAAAGAAGCCGAGGCGTTTACGCACCTTTATCGGAATGACGATGCTCGCGGCAGGAGCCGAGTCAGCAGGAATCGGAACTTCGGCGGTCAGGATGCCGTCGGCGGAGAGCGAGGAGACCATTTTGCGTAGGTCCGCCACCGCCGGGAGCCTGAAGAAGACAATCACGCTGGCCCAAAATTGTCCTTCGCCAATGCGGAAAAGTAAAGCGGTTGTGTTAGTTGATGTACTTGTATTTCCTTGTGAAACATCTGGAGACAAATCCGTCCCGGTCGGGCCGCTCCTCGTGTCTCCCTGCGGTACACAAATGGCGGAGCGAGTCGTTACAATTCTTCCCCAATGTGCTGCGTTGGCTTTATCGTTGATCTGGATCGCTTCATTGTGAAAACGCCGTACGAGATAACACGAATGTGCTGGATTTGCTGAATCCTTATCGGCCCGATAACCTCGAGTTAATTAACGTAAGGATTCGTCTTCCATCTTTTCCCACCGTCGACGCCGCCCGAACCACATGAGCAAAACTCACAATTTTCACAATTTACCGTCGTCAACCTGTCTTCCAAATCTGGTCCCGATTGGAAAAAAAATACAAACAATTGAAAAACGTGTAAAGGTTGCCAGGCTCCGCCCACTTTCCTTCAAGTAAAATAAAAACCAGTGTTTTTAAAAAAAATGACACACTACATTTTACATTAATGAAACGATTGGAAACGGGGGAAAAAAAAAACAATGTCAATTTCAAAGTATCCGAAAAAGTTTTTTGGCATCAAAAATGTGTTAGGGTAGCCTAGCTTTGAGAACGGGTTCACGGTACACATTTATTTTGGAACTCAAGGTTGCTCAACAATTTGGTTTTGGGGCCCGACCGATACAGCTGAAGTTTACCCCTTTTTGCCAGGACACATGAAAACAAAACAACCCCCCCCCCCCAAAAAAAAAAACAAAAACAAAAAAAACATGCCATGAACTCACCTGCGACCTGAAGAAAACCATCTTGGACGCAGACGGAAATCTCATGGACGGCAAAGTGTGCCACGTCCAGGTGGACCCTCCACCTTGGCTCCCCAGCGCTGTCGATTTCGGGCCTCCAGATGTGAGGCTTGAAGAGAGGCGTGCAGGAGGTCAGCACCGGGGGCATACCCGCATCAGGATGCTTCCACCACTGATGTGTGGGCGGGCAGCCCTCGTTTTGGGAACTTTGGCTCATCTCTTTTGGCGTCTCTCGTTTCCGTTTAGAGAAAATGCCGAAGGGAATGAGACTCGGGATGGTGGGGTGGGTTTATATAGCGTGACGACGCTCCCATGAGAAGGGCGTGCGTGCGTCTTTCGATATTTGCAGGCCACGCGCTTAATGAGTCGTATTTATAACTTTTCAGTGAACGGTGGCAAATAGCGAGCGCGGTCCGCCCTTTGCCGTCAAGCCCTCGGTGAACCAGTTGCCGTCGGGGGCGCCGAACGGGGCCTTGCTCACAAAAACCACCCGACCGAGTTATTGTTCGGGCCTTTGTTTTTTTTTTTTTTTTTAATAATCAAATGTCACGGCTGTGTGGGTTTCAACACGTTGGCGACGCATTCCTCATTCAGCTGTGGCACTTCCTGGATGGATTACATCATGGCGCAAATGCTTGACTTGTGACTTTGTTGTCAGGTTTCAGTGGTCAGATGCACAAAACCAAAATGAGAACACTCGCGAGAAGCTGCTGTAGGCCACCGCTCACGCCAACATGCTCACACGCAGACCAAGCGGCCAGACCTGACTCCAATTTCATAAGATACAAGAAAATAGCAATCTAGTCGAAAATAATATATACACTTAATAAAATGTAATTAAATCAAATATTTTTAGTAAGACTACAGTACATTTTGAAAAAAAAGTAAAAATTTCGATGAAACTTATCACATTTCATGAAAAAAAATACACTTTCTCAAATTAAATAAAATGTAAAAAAAAATGTCAGAATAAACCATTTTAAATATTAGTTGCTGCCTCGCAGTCAAACATTCCGCGTTCGACTCCACCACGGCGGACCAAAATTGTCACCGCGAGCGCCTGCCGTCGTCATGGCGACGGCAGACAAGCAGCCGCGGCCTGCGGCGACATTCGCCGCCCTCGCCAAAGATAAACAAGGCAATATGTTGCTCTTATTAGCACATCCACTCTTCTGATGCCCCCGTGGAGCTTTTCGCCATGCGCGCACGCCGCCGCTTTGTTGTGCGCACGCGCCCTCCTTCCAGGTGTTCGCATGCCATCGCACTTCATCACACACGCGCGCGCACACACGCGCACACTCGCCCCCAGAGCACACGCACACAAAGCGAGTGTCCCGATCTGACACCAAGGAGAGATTTGCGGCAAATGAACTCATCCATCAACGCAAGCCAAAGGGGGGCGCGGGTGGGGGGGGCAGGATGGGCCGAGAGCCGACTTGACACTCCACGCGGAGGAAAAGAAAAATGCTGAGTCACGTCATTGAACTTGTGGATATCGCCTTCGTTTCCTTGAAGACAAAGAACCAAAAGAAAAAATTAAATTGTCTGAAATCGATGCACAGTGGATCTCCGGCAGATGGGGGCCCAAGGAAAGGTGCAAACATTTCTGTCATGATTCTGTTTGTGACCAACAGGTGGCACTGTAGGGCGCTCCCTGCAGCTGCACACCTGTTGGTCGTGATATAATTATTGCTTTAAAAGGACTCCCGGCACGACCACTCGGTGTTTGTTTGTCCTGTCGTGTTTGTTTCTGTCATGGTTCTGTTCTAGTTTTTTTGCTTCAGTCATGGTTTTGGTTTGGTACTTTGGATTCCTTGTGTTCTTAGAACTTTGTTTGTTTAGGATTTCGTTTTCTCTGTGTTTTTATCACTACAACTGCGTTCGAAGTAAGACTCAGCTCGGAATTGTATTTCTCTAGCGTCACTTGGCAACAGAAAGTCATCTCAAGGCACGTTTCAGCAAGCACTATCGTTGAACTGACTTGGTCGACTAGTCGGCGCGTCGACGCCGCAGTGACGCTTGGAGCTTGTCGTCGATTGATGTCCAAGTTGGGGCTCTGCAGTTTGTCGGGAAAGCATGATGTCATTGGCAGAAAGTGGAGCATAACGCAATCAGGAATGATTTGATGGCAGCCTCCCATTTTGGATGCAGCGTGAACGGGAAAGTAATTAGGCGCGCTACATGGGACAAACGAGCCAGTTGTATTTGAGGAAAGGATATGTTTTCAAGCTAAAGTGCCCGAATGAACTCATTCATCACGTTTGTCACATTCGCGTATTGCTAGCTGTCAGCTATGCGTGTGTGTTTGTGCGCGCGCGCGCTTCATTAAATTAGATCGGTGTTAAATTATGATGTATGGAATAATTCATCCTTAATTTCCTCCTCGGGAGCTGAAAAAAGCGTATCTCCCCATCAATCTTAATTGTACAGTTTTATGCGATAGCCAACATGAAGCTGAGTTCAATGTAGTTTGCACGGGAATGATACTTTGAATGGTGTCGTTTGTCGTTGAATTGATCTCAGAATGACGTCAAATGGGAAATGGCGGAGTATGTGCAGTTTGGAACAACCTGTTGTTTGTAGCAGAGGAAAATGTGAAGCGGTGTGGTTTTCAGTGGAATAAAACTCGGGATGTTGTAGTATGCAGGGGAATATACTGCAACTTGAAATGGTGTCATTTGTCACAGTGTATTTATGAATCATGTCTTTTGCAGTTGACTGAAACTTGTATGATAGAATGATCCAGTCATGAGAAGAATAAAACTTAGAATGATCTACTGTAGTTCGCAGGAGACTTGAATTTGTCATCGTTTAGTGTGTAGGGGGTATGCTGCTCAGATGTACTGTATGTATCGATGTGCATGTAGTTTGTATGGAACTTAGAAGAACATAGTTTGCATGGGGCGGGGGGAGTTCAGAATGATGTGATTTGAAGCAGGATAAAACTTAAATGATGTAGCAGTACTGTCGTTTTTAATGGGGTCAAACTTGGCAAGGCCCGAAAACGAAGAACGTTCTAGTTTGCCGGAGACTACAATTTGTTATCATGTAGTTTGCAGGGGAGCGGCGCTCTGAATGATGTACTTTGCAGGAGAATGCTACTCACTTACTGTACTAACTAGGTGACTTACTACATCGTCGCATACTTTTTCAGGAGGACGTAGCTTAGGATAATACAGTTTGTCTGGGAATTCCTCTGAGAACGATGTCATTTGTCAATAAATCACGTAGCCTGCCTGCAGTGGGATCAAATCAGGAATTGTGCGCATGTGTGCCTTTGTGTGTTTGTATATTTTTGTGCGTTTGTGAGTGGAGGTTAAATTTGCGAATGCGTGTTTGTGTGCGTGGAAGTGTGTAGTGGGGCGGGGGCCTCTTTCTGCGGGTGCGTGTATATGTGTGTATGTTCCGATGTTACGAGGGCCTTTGTGAACGGACGCGGCGGTAGAAAGCATCGAGGCGTGGCAGCACGACATGAGGTGACAGATGACGCGTCGCAACTGCAGGTGACCTTTGCATGTGCATGCGTGTCTCGGGAACTCTCGGGAATAGAGAGCACGGTGGCCCTCAAGTGCCGCACGTTCCGTTTCCCCCCGCAATCCAAATCTTAGTTTGCCCCTTGGATGGGGTTGAATGATGTTTTTAATCATTAAAAAATACTGACATACATGCACAGATAGGTAAGTATACTGTACATGTGTTGTAGAAAATGAAAAGCAAGAAGCACGAGACAGCCGCGATCCCTGGGGGCCTCAAATCCAATTTGTGGTCGAGCTTTTATGGCCCCAGTGATGCGACCGAGGTTTTTTTTTCCAACCCTGAGCGAGGAGACAATGAAGTGAAACATGATCACAAGGTTAACACGTACACACGCGGCCGCTCCAGAGCCTCCTGCATCTCCGATGCGTGCTCTCCAAGTTTTTTTTTTTTCCTTTATGACAGAGGAAGGATGAATTACAGGGCAGCAAAATGGCTGCCGCCGAGTGGTAGAAGGTCAGCGGCGGCGTGATGAATGCCATGGCGTCATTTGGGGACTTTTGAAGGCTGTTGAGGACGCAATAGTTTGTCATTTTGCCAATGAGGTCGTGTTTATGCCTTTGTGTTCGAGTCGTTGTTTGTCGTGAATTTTTGTCATGTTTTTGTTTTGACAAATAGTTCTCTTTAATATTGTACTCAATTAAAAAAAAGCCATAACAATAGTCACATAGAATGTAAAGAATGAAACAGTTTGTGCATTGTGAGTTCATGTTTTAATTCAGGGGATATTGTGCTGCTCCTTGTGGTGTGTAGGTCTCGGCCACTGGAGGGCAGTTTAAAACAGACACATGGATGTACTGTACATGAAGAAGACATTCACACCAGCTCAGTCAGATCCACTAATATTAGTCTTGTTCACAGAGAAAAACAAGAAACTCCTGCATTGTCACAGTTCGGCGTGACAACGCATTTTGTTTAAGGCTAATACAGTTTGTCTGGGAATTATTCACAGTAAGCCCATTTTATGTGCATTTGTACATTTAATTATTTTCCAAATATCTTGATTCATTATTACATATACCGAATAATCCATCTTAAATAATGAACAAAACACCTCACACAAATACCACTAAACGTTTCCCATCGGCAGTGCGAAATGCTTGAGACGTCAAATGCAAGAAGAAGAATAAGGCGGATCCAATTGAAGGTTGCAATAAGCCAAATCGGACGGAGGGGGCAGCAATGCGCCCTAAGCTTCGACTAGTGTGAAAAGGAAGAAGGAAAAAGGGCGGAAGTTGACCACACTTCCTCGGGGCTCTGCGGTTTGTTTGTGTGACTACCTGCCAAGGTGAAACCGTCGACGAAGCGTCAGAATGTTGAAAGATTTGGTGAGGGAGCGCCTAATCGCGGCCGCTGACGAAATCTTCGGCCTGTTTGAAAGCACCATCGCGTCGTACGAGGAGCAACTAGCTCGAGCGAGAGACGAGACCGATCGACACCGACGGCAGCGAAAGCATAATTGTGAAACTCAAACGCCGCTGCACGGTCAAGGTTTGCTCGCGTGCACCAAACCCCCCATTTCTTTAAAACACAATTACGGGTGGTCCGTTGGGACGCGTCGATTTAACATTGTGTCAAACACGGGAGCTTAACTAAACCGGCATTACAGCCTGTGAGGCGGGGGGTCCAAGTCCGGTCCTTCAGATCCGATAGCCTCTTTTAGATTTCGCCCTCCTCCAACACACTTGATTCAAATGATCAGGAGCGTTATCAGGCTTATCGGAGCTTGTTGATGAATTGATCATTTTAAACAAGTATGTTGGAAAAGGGAGCTATCTGGAACAGGCTGGACCGGGGCTCTCAAGGACCAGACTTGGGCAGTCCTGCTGTAGAACAAATGAGGAGTAGAACACTTACTTCTATGAAAGGACTGCAAAATCCTTTTCTGTCAATCAAAGTGTTTTGGTGAATATGTTTGTGTGGTGCAGAGGTCTGGCAGCTCATTGATCCTCCCCCTCGGCTGCACTGGCGGAGCTTCAGTGTTAAGCAGGAGGATCTGCAGCCCCTGCGGGCCAAAGACGACGACGAAGACGAGGATCCGCAGCGCCCCCCCTATGCCGATGAGGTCAAGGACAATTTACAGTCTTCCTTCGGCAAAGAGGAAGAAGAGGAGGAGACTGACGTCTGTGTGCCATCACTGGCCGTCATCTCCGTCAAGAGTGAAGACGACGAAGAAGAGGCGCCCAAACCGTCGCAGCGCATGAGCAATGAGCATCGCGGAGGCCCGCCGACGCCGCACGGCGGCCACAACAGCGACGGTTTGAGGAATGGCGCCGACAATCTGGGCGACGCCGACCTCCCGCAAAGCTCCGAAAGGGAGACGGGCAAAGAGCGCTTCAGCTGCTCGTTTTGTGGCAAAGGCTACGCGTATCGCTGCAAGTTGGCTCTGCACATGAAAGTACACACGGGAGAGAAACCTTTCACCTGCTCTGTCTGTGCCAAACGCTTCAGCCAAAAGGTCAACATGCTGTCGCACATGAGGACCCACACGGGGGAAAAACCCTTCAGTTGCTCAGTCTGCGGCAAAACCTTTGCCCACAAGCCAAATATGGTGGCCCATGCCAAAACGCACACGGGGGAAAAACCCTTCGCTTGCTCAGTGTGTGGCAAAACCTTCTTCCAAAAGTCCAACATGTTGACGCACCTGAAAACACATGGTGGCGATCGAGCCTTAGCCTGCCCCGTTTGCGGCAAGAGTTGTTCCCATCGGGGCGACCTGACCGCCCACATGAGGACGCATGACGCAGACAAATCGTTTGCGTGCTCCGTTTGCACCAAAAGATTCTCCCGCAAGATCAACCTGATGACGCACAAGAGAACGCACACGGGAGAGAAGCCCTTTGGCTGCACCGTGTGCACCAAGAAGTTCACCCAAAAGACGCACGCGAACACGCACATGAGAACTCACACGGGAGAAAAACCCTTTGCGTGCTCACTGTGCGGCAGAGCCTACGCTTATCAGAACAGTTTGGACGCGCACATGCAGACGCACAAGGACGAAAAAAGCTTCAGCTGCCCCGTGTGCGACAAAGTTTTCTCCTGCAAGACGTTCCTGGTCGCACACACGAGAACGCATACGGGCGTGAAGCCCTTCGTCTGAGAACGCACACGGATGGGAAAAGCCTGGTCTGCACATTTGGAGGTTAAATAAAAGGCAAATAAAGGAAAGAAACAAAATGTGTTTTCTTTTTCAGTTGCTGACATTAATTGGACGCATCTTGCTTTCATTGTGGAAATGTTTATCAAAACAAACAAATCTGTCACTGCAACACAAGAGCGTTCCGTTTGCACTTCAATCTTGGTAGACATCCCGTACCAGCTTGAAACACGATCTTGTTATGGGTTATCAACTTCAGAGCTACCGGATCTGCATTGAAATGAAAGTCAACCGATTGACCTCGCACGGCCAGAACTCCACTTAACAGAATGGCATTTTATATACTTTTCGAAAATAAAAACACTTTTTTTGTTTCTTTACTTTATTTGCCTTTTATTTAACCTACAAATGTGTCAGATCGTTTTGCCTGACCCTGTACAAAATAAGTTTTGGAGATGAATGTTTGTTTGAATGTCATCATCCAAAGTCAGCAAAAATCCTCGCTTCCCAAACGTTTATTCAATCTTGTTAAAAGAAAAAGGTGATGGAACAGATTGGTCAACATGACCCTGTCCCAACTTTTGGCAAATATGTTGCAACCATAAAATTCGAGGTGAATGAATATTTGCTAAAAACGATCGAGTTTATCAGTTCGAACATCAAACCGTTTGTCGATACAGTACAGTGCATTCAATTAAATATATGTTGAAGATGATTTGCAATTCATTGTATTATGTTTTTATTCATAGTTAACAACATCGGAATTGGGTTTGTAAATCTCTCTCTGTCTCTCTCTCTCTTATATGGCGAGACACGTCATGTGTTTTTTATTTTCTTTTTCTTTGAATTCGTAGCTGCTTTTCCTTCTTGTTGTCTTCGATACCGCCACAAGTTGGCGGCCGCGTGGTGTCACGGCGGCTTCAGTTGCCCTCAAAGCACCGCCGAAGAAGAAAAAGCCGGAAACGGAGAGCAAAACAAAGCGCGGGCGACATCAACAGAACACATTGAGAAAAAAAATGTCCCTAAAACAAATTTGCCGAGCGACAGATGAGCGCAAAGCCGATTCCTCCACTCGACGTGTCCGAGGTTTGTTCACTCGCATTCTAATTCCGTCCTTCGAACGCTTTAATTGCTTTCTTTCCCTCCTTCGTTCGTTGGCTGAGCGACGCCAATTAGTGTGCCAAGCTAGATTGACAACAGTCAACACTGTGAATTCCTAGGACTGTCGTCGAAGTGATCATTTGAGAATGTCAATCGTTTCTGAGATTAATAATAACAAAATGTCACGAAGCGCTGTTTATTTGTTTCCTAATTACTGTTGAGAAGGCATGAACGTGATCACGTGAACGTGTCTTTATTTATAGAGCACTTTCGCAGCAGCTGCAACTGTATCAAAGCGCTTTACATAACATTTAACATAGTGTTTTCACATAAATGAATATCATAATAGAACTAAATAATATAAATGAATAAAGTGATTTTAGGAGCAAATTTTGTTATTTCAGAGGTGCGCATCAAACCGGTGGCCCTTCGCATTTATTAGCACCCAAGAAGAAGGACTCTGATTCAAAACGGTGGGTGACTCATGCGCCAGTGATTTAAACATTAGAGGAAAAAAGGGACAGAAAAAAGACACCTAGCGAGAATTTTGTTTTCATTACTGTTGGGTCAGAAAGTACAGAATCTGCGAGTTCAATAGACAGGCGATGACAAAATCACGGTCAAAAAGATTATCGTATTATAAAAATACATACTGTAATAAAGAGCACATAGATCCAAGGGTTGTCAAATGGTCCTATTTGGCCAATATTATGAGCAAATGAATCTTTCAAATGTGTATTTGTGTTTACAAGTAGATAGTCAATGAAGCCCAACGATATTTGTTCAAGGCAAAAGTAAAGATGTGGCAGTTTCCTATGACAACAAGTTCCTGCTACTAACTTCGGCACTTTCTTGCATCCCGCAGACGTCCAGTGGCCGATTGGCGGCCGAGTAGCGCTCACGCCTCCTCCTGTCAAGGTTGAAGGGAAGGAGCTCGACACGGTGGCGGCAAAGAGCGAAGGTGGCCCGCCCGAAGTGGTGGCAGGTGAGCTCTCAGCGCCGCCGTCAGATGGCGGAAGCACGCGAGCAGATTGCCACAAAGCGTCCGAACGCTCCCGAAAGCGCGGCGGGCGTGGCGCCGCCGGGTGCGCGCGCTTCGCCTGCGCGCTGTGCGGCCAGAGCTACGCATACAAGTGTAATTTGACTCTCCACATGAAAAGGCACACGGGAGAAAAACCCTTCAGTTGCTCCGTGTGCGGCCAAGGATTTATCCAGAAGGTGTCGCTGATGGCGCACGCTGCGGCGCACACCGGGGAAAAACCTTTCTCCTGCTCCGTCTGCGGCAAAAGCTACTCGTATAAGAATAACTTGAAGGCGCACATGCGCGAGCATGGGCAAAAGCCCTTCGTCTGCTCGCTGTGCGGCAAACGATTCACGCAAAAGGTCAACATGGAATCGCACGCGCGGATCCACACCGGAGAGAAACCTTTTGCCTGCTCGTTTTGCGGCAAGCGCTTCACCCACAAGCCCAACATGGTGGCCCACTCTAGGATCCATGCTGGAGAGAAGCCCTTCACGTGCTCGCTGTGCGGCCAAGGTTTCGCTCAAAAGGTGGCGCTGACGGCTCATGTGCAAGCGCACACGGGCCAGAAAGGCTTCGTCTGCGCCGTTTGCGGAAAAACCTTCTACAAGCAAGCCAGCTTGGTGTCGCACACGAGAACGCACACGGGCGAAAAGCCTTTTGCCTGCTCGCTGTGTGGCCAGAGTTTTGCCCAGAAGGTCACGCTGGTGGCGCACATGCGCACGCACACGGGAGAGAAACCCTTTGCGTGTTCCTTTTGCCACAAAGCCTTCTCTCAAAAATCACACATGGTGGCCCACGTGAGAATCCACACGGGAGAAAAACCCTTCAGCTGCTCCATCTGCGGCCAAGGCTTTGCTCAAAAGGTCTCGTTGACCGGACACAAGCGAGTCCACGCAGGGGACAAACCCTTTGCTTGTACCTTTTGTGCAAAGCGCTTCTCCTACAGGTGCAGTTTGACTGCGCACATGCATACGCACGCACAGCAGGGAGATTAACACGAGGCGGAGGGAGGCACAACCATTCATTGACAACTCGTCAACGAGCAAGTCCATCGGCATCGGATTCAAGACCGGACGAAGGGGCTCCCTGAGCCGAAGTCCAACTGCATTGGCCTCACTGGTTTCTCTCCAAGTGTCTTGCCTTCAAGTCTTGAAAAATGCCAGCATGTTGTTTGGCCCAGCGCAACATTTACCACTGGTTTCTCTCCAAGTGTCTTGCCTTCAAGTCTTGTAAAATGCCAGCATGTTGTTTGGCCCAGCTTGCAACATTTACCGGCATTTGGAGAAGAGTCGCATGGAGAGCTGGAGGACGCCGTCTCGCTGAACGTCAGCGCACGCCTTGGCCATTTGTGCCACTCACTCATCGAACAAGCTATATTGAAGATATTTCATGTTTTTGCAAGTAATGCAATCGGAATCCTGTTTATTGCTTTATCCTGTTTATTGTTTATTACTGAAATAAAAAGAAAGCATTGCTGCTGCTGATCAAAGACGAAAACGCTCTGGTGACCAGTGGGGTCGGGAATGGGTGAATAACCGATGAAGTCTTTCTCTGACTCGCCAGTACCGTCGCAAGATGGCGACAGAGAAGATTTTCTTCGACGAGACGATTCCGTTCCAACTACCATAGAAGAAGAAAAGGGCGGAAGTTAGCCTCGCTTAAAATCTAAGACGACGTCAACAAAAGCGACGGAGAGAACCCCACAAACATGTTGAAAAATGTGGTTCGGGAGCGCCTGAACGAGGCCGCCGATGAAATCTGCGGCCTGTTTGAAAGCAGCCTGGCGTCGTACGAGGAGCAACTTTGTCGCGCGAGAGAAGAGAACCAGAGGCAACGACGACAACTGGAAGCTGCCGCCCGAGATCACCCGATTCTGTGGAGCATGCCAGGTGTGTCGGACTTGAAACGAATTTTATTTGCGTTTCCTGAGGCGAGCGGGTCGGTGGGCAATTGTGACGAGGGGTGTTGTCAGCGGCTTACTTATGCAGTACGCCCGCGTGTCACCCCTCAAGGCGGCTGGATAAACGGAGGAAAAATCTGCGTGACACGCCTCTTGCTTTATTAGAATTTTGTAGAAAAAGGGGTAAAGTATCTTAACACACACAGCATATATAGTGGACACACCGGAAGTTGGAACGGTTCCTTCAAAGTAAAACAGGAAATAATTGAGAGCATATATGTCTGTTCACAACACCCCTCACCCCCCCACACACACACACACCTTACCTCCGACGTAATCAGATGCACGTATTTTTCCAATAAAAAAATAGATTAATGCATATGTTTAAGCGCCATCCTGCACAGAGAGAGCGAGGGCATATAATTGAGAGCATATATGTCTGTTCACAACACCCCCCACCCACACCTTACCTCCGATGTAATTAGATGCACGTATTTTTCCAATAAAAAATAGATTAATGCGCATGTTTAAGCGCCATCCTGCACAGAGAGAGTGAGGGCATATACTTAGAGAAATGTCTGTTCCCCCCCCCTCCCCTCCCCACATACGTTTGTTTACTTTTGGCCTGCCAAAATAAGTGGACTGGTCACTGTTATGTCATGGTTCAAAATTGTTGATAATTCATTTTATAATCAACGTCATCATCCATGTTTTTAAGCTTTGTGCTCCCACAAAACTAAAAATGAACACACTCCTTTTAAATTTGAATAAATATTTATTTTTTCTTGACTGCCCTACCACTATCATTGAACTCTATTTTTAGTTTGCAATTAGACATGCCATAAACACTAAAAGCTATAGTAAAAGCGTATGTGGGCTGCTGCGATATGCTGCAAACTACGTCTCATGCCGCCAGTCAATGTGTAGTGTCCTCCCCAAAAGATGGTTTGTGGCAGCCCTAATCTCTTCTGGTTCACTTCATTTGTGCCACTCTTGTCGCACAGGCGTCCAGCAGATGATTGGGCCTCCACGACAATTTCGCAGGAGCGTGTTGAGAAGCAAGACGATTTGCATCCCGTCGTCCCTGTCAAGGAGGAAGAGGAGGAAGCCGACGTCAGCGAGTCGCCACCGACCGTCACGCTCATCATCGACCAGAGCCAAGACGGCCGAGAGCGAGCGGACGAAACGTCGTGGCTCAATGGTCCTGGAGGCACCGACGCACCGCCACGTAGCCAAACTGCGGGAGAACCTCGGCGGAGCGACGCGGACCGGCCGGGAGACAGCGAAGGCTCAGAGAAGGAGCCGGCGCGCAGGAGATGTCACGCGGCCGTCAAACCTTTTAGCTGCCCAGTTTGCGCAAAAACATTTATCCGAAAGGATTATGTGATCACGCACATGTGGACGCACACGGGAGAAAAGTGCTGCACTTGCTCGGTTTGCGCTAAAACTTTCACTTGTCAGCACAATTTGAACATCCATATGAGAACGCACACGGGAGAAAAGCCCTACGCTTGTCGGGTGTGCGGCGCTAAGTTCCGCCACAGGGTGTCTTTAATCGCGCACACGGGGACGCACACGGGGGAAAAACCTTTCGCCTGCTCCGTTTGCGGTCAAAAGTATTCGTACAAGTTCACGTTGACGGAGCACATGCGGACGCACACCGGCGAGAAACCCTACAGTTGTGCCGAGTGCGGCCAGAGATTCTCTCGAAAAGAACACTGAAGAAGCCACA